CGTTTGGTGCGTTTGGTGCGTTTGGTGCGTTTGGTGCGTTTGGTGCGTTTGGTGCGTTTGGTGCGTTTGGTGCGTTTGGTGCGTTTGGTGCGTTTGGTGCGTTTGGTGCGTTTGGTGCGTTTGGTGCGCTTGGTGCGTTTGGTGCGTAATATTTTCTTTTGTTTTCCTGAAATAGTTGGTAAAATAAATTAGCGGTGTAAAAGGGGGTGGGGCATTAGAATATAAATATAAAATACACTATAAATGCATGCAAAGCCCCAAGAAGAAAAAAAACACATGTTTTTAGGGTTGTTAAATTGACTTGTGAAATGAGCGCTGCAACAACCAAAAGATCGACCCACTTCTCGTAGTGATGCGATATTGTTTGTCCTAAGCAGTGAGAGTTTGGTTTTGTCATAAGTGTTGACATTTTAATTGTTATAAGTCAGTGGTTCTCAACTTTTCTATTGCCGCGACCCTTTAAACACAGAGCCTCATGTTGTGGCGACCCCTAACCACACAATTTGTATCGTTGATACTTCATAAATTTTAGGTATATGTGTTTTCCGATGGTCTTAGGTGACCCCTCTGAAAGGGTCATTCGACCCCTAAAGGGTTCGCGACCTACAGGTTGAGAACCGCTGTTATAAGAGGTGAGATGTTTTAATTATAAATGGTATTGTGAAATGTTTTTGATAGATGTGGGGGTGGGAGAAAAGCTTTGCAGGCCATGGGAAATGACTGGATCCGGATTTTCGTGTGGTCGAAAGAAAGTGTCTGGGATTTGAAAAGGTTCAATGGGATGGCGCGTGTTGTTTGTGTTCCGTCGGAAATTAACTGAGAAACAACTAACACATCATTAGTGAGAAGATGGACGCACCATGTTGCAGTCCTTGGCGGGATGACTTACGACGCTGCCAACCAACGCTCATCCAGACATGACCATCTGACAATGTGTCTCCTCTTACAAAGGGGATATGGCCCTGGATGTCCATTTGACCAGACAGCTCTCAAAGGTTCTCATGTTGCCAACTTAACGCCCCGTTGGAGTAAATGCCACCGAAGTCGGTGCCTCTGCCAACCCATACAATGCAATCCTCTCCGGTGACCTTTGACTGATGCCCCGAGAACGCCCCGAGAACGCACCATTGCAGCTCAAATGTTAAGGAGAAGTAATTCTCTAAACTACAGGAGCCCATCAAACAATGACATGAGGGGGTGGTTGGGTCAATGTGACAAGTTGGAGGTTAGCCAGAAGGAAATGCTAAATGCAAAAAAGAGGTCACAAAAAAAAAAAGTTATATGAATTTGAGTGGATGTTAATGGAGGTGAGTGGAGGTGAATATTTGGAATAGATTTATACGTAAACAAACTGATACAAAAAATAACTTCGTCCCTGTTATTTTTAGGTTATAAATTTTACAATTGTAGGTCTTTTTTCGATAGGATCAACAATAATTGTTATCATATTGTCATTTCTTTGATTGTCTTGGAGCCACCTCACGCCACAATGTCCGGCCGTTTTGTCAAGGCTTTACATTTCACACCTTAGTTACGCCACTGCATTAAATGTAATGACGTCACTATTGTCTCTCGTCTTCACAGATATCAAATGCCATCTGCCCAATGTCGGATTCTATGCCTGGAAATGACTGGCTCGATGTAAAGTCGTTTACTTGTGATGACGCTAACTACGGAGGTCACTTTGACCCACTGACCGGCCGATTCACTGTCCCACTGACCGGCTTTTATTTATTCCGCATTAGTACTAGTACTGGAAGTCTTGACACCTTTGAAACATTTACCATCAAATGTTATCAGAAGAGCAGAAATCGGTCCCACCAAGAGGAGGATGGCTATAAACTTTGCCGAGTGTCTGCCAACAGATCAGTAACACGATGTACTGAGATGACAGCAGGAGATGTCATTTATGTCAAATGTAAGACATTTCATAAAAAGCCCTCTTTTCAGATGTTCATTTGTTTTTCATGCTGTATGATGAAAGGGTGAACACGGTGAACGTAGTATGACGTCATTTGAGTGAATTTATACCCCCCCCCCCAAAAAAAAAAAAACAAAAAAAACAACAACCAAAAACACCACATTACTACTCAACTACACAAAACCTGGATATCTTCTCCCTTGGCTGCATACAAGAAATAACTTACCACAGTGGAGATCTCCTCCATTAGTTGCATACAAATGTAACTTACAATAGTGTTGGTCTCCCACGGTAGCATACAAGAAGAATCTGACCACATTATTATGTAATTATTTCTAATAAATCTACAATATTGACGAAAAAGTATAGCGCATTCATTCATACATTTCATTCGTAATGCAGTAAAAGACGTCAACTCAAGAAGTACGGAATAAGACTAAAATATTCTGTCAGTTTTGACAAGAGATTAAAACAAAAGGCAATAAACATGGGCGCCCGCAGAAAACTTTCCAGGTGGGGGGGGGCAAACAATTTTTAGTAATGTTTTAATATAGTTTTAATTTACTGTAGCGTATTTGTATGGTGAACGAACCGACAGGACATCAGCTTAGTTACTTTTTTTTTATTTTCTTTTTACGTTGATAAATTTTTGTCTAAAAATTTTTTATCCAATCCATCCCGGGGGGGGGGGGGAGTGCCCCACCTTGCCCCTACCTGCGGCTGCCCATGGCAATGAATGTATATATTGAATATGATTTTCCTTTTTTTTTCCATGTGGAAATTCAACATAAAGCTTCGATTTTAATTAAAATAAAAATTAAATAAAGTCGTTTTTTTTTTGTATTTCTCCGTGACCAAATGAGGGTTCAATGGTTGCTTGTTGATTGGGTTCAAAGAAAATGTGCTTGTAATTTATCTAGCCACAGGTGAGGCCATAATTCAGTTTGACATAACAGACATTATTTTTGTTCAAAGGCTTGAAGCCTGTGAGTGTAGTGCATGGCAGGAAGACACGATGCCTGAAAATAATTTGTTCTACTATTTAACGTTAACTAACAGAAAAAAAATGAACAACAATTTAAATTTTAAAAATTTATTTTGAAGTGTGTCTTTTTGTCTTCGTAACACAGGCTGTAACTAATGCTAACTATACAGCCTCTTGAAATATGCCATTTCTTCATGAGATGTTCTGATTCATTAGATGGTCCGATTCATTAGATAGTCTGATCCATGAGATGGTCTAATTCACGAGCTGGTCTGATTCATTAAATGGTCCGATTCATTACTAACATAAAAATATAACAACTTTTAGATGAAACATATGTTTCAATGATAGACTCAATTTTTTCTAATAAATCTTGAAATGGATCATGTAAACCATATTTTATTGCAGACAGAAACTTACATCTTATTTCTGTATTTTTATTTTAAAAAATTCACTCAAGATTGACCTATCCTAGACAAAGATGAAACTTGATTTATGTAATTAAAGAACCTATTTCTGTATTTTTATTTTAAAAAATTCACTCAAGATTGACCTATCCTAGATAAAGATGAAACATTGATTTATTAATTTTTTTTTACGTTGCTCATTCTTATTGATTAATTTGACGATGTGATCGAATGTATCTATGAGAAATGACAAATAAAAATGTGAAGTTTTCCCACTCGTTTGTTTTGGAGCTTAAAGGTTCATCTAGCAATTGTGTTTAACTTTAATTGAAATTACATAAAGCGACATTTTATCGAACACAAAATTGAAAAAAAAAAATCCAGCCCGTAAAATATAAATAATTTAAGAACATAGAAGAAAAATCATGTAATACAATGATACCAGTTACTATTTTCAGAATTAGAGCATAGTTTGTTTATATTTTGTTGTTGACAATTTACATTTTCGTAAAGTGATGTATGAACACAAAATGTACTGAAAATAAAAACAGAACGTGCCAGTTTGCACATCTAAATGTTTTGAATAATTTTTGTTGTTGCTAAAAATAGGTCACTTGATATTAACATTGGCGTCATGAAAATTTCATGTAAGCTTTGATTGGTGCCCACAAAATGAACGTCTTTCCTGTGCGTTGTGCTAAGAGAACTTTGTTCATTCCACGAGAACATTGTGGTGTGTGTGATATCTCAGACAGCTTTGCTTAATACATGAGAACATTGTGGTGTGTGTGATATCTCAGACAGCTTTGATTAATACATGAGAACATTGTGGTGTGTGTGATATCTCAGACAGCTTTGCTTATTACATGAGAACATTGTGGTGTGTGTGATATCTCAGACAGCTTTGCTTATTACATGAGAACATTGTGGTGTGTGTGATATCTCAGACAGCCTTGCTTATTACATGAGAACATTGTGGTGTGTGTGATATCTCAGACAGCTTTGTTCATTCCACGAGAACATTGTGGTGTGTGTGATATCTCAGACAGCTTTGCTTATTACATGAGAACTTTGTGGTGTGTGTGATATCTCAGACAGCTTTGCTTAATACATGAGAACATTGTGGTGTGTGTGATATCTCAGACAGCTTTGCTTATTACATGAGAACATTGTGGTGTGTGTGATATCTCAGACAGCTTTGCTTATTACATGAGAACATTGTGTTGGTACAGGCTTAGATTCAACTACGCAAAGTAGCACGCAATAAAGCAAAACAAATGAATTAAGTGTATAGCTTAATGTAATGTACACCCAATAAAGCAAGCATGTAAATTAAGTGTATAGTTTAATGTGATGTACACTCTATAAAGCAAACATGTATATTAAGTGTATAGTTTAATGAAATATACACTCAACAAAGCAAACATGTGAATTAAATTATCAATCAATGAAGTATCGAACCAGATATCTCTATGAATTATCGATTCAATATATTTTAATAATTTATTGATCCCACACATTTCAATAAAGTATCCAGCCCAGATCTTTCACAGATATTTCTATAACTTATCTATCCCATACATTGTTTTATGCTCATCTGCTGCTTGTAGGTCAAGGGCAACTTGAGGTCATGGACGATGATGATCCTGGTGTCATCCAAGATGTCAAGCAGGTAGGAGGGAATGTGTTGCACCTGTGACTCCTCCATCAACACGAAGACACGCCCCTGGTTGACTGGGGTCACGGAATGGCTGGCGTACTGGAAGTTGGACAAATATAATTTGATTAAACGTTTAGACACACATAACAGTATTGGCAGCTGTTTTAACAAACTATTCACACAAGAATATTGGCAGCTGTTTTGATAAACAATTCACACAAGAATATTGGCAATTGTTGTAACAAACTATTCACACAAGAATATTGGCAGCTGTTTTGATAAACAATTCACACAAGAATATTGGCAATTGTTGTAACAAACTATTCACACAAGAATATTGGCAGCTGTTTTGATAAACAATTCACACAATAATATTGGCAATTGTTGTAACAAACTATTCACACAAGAATATTGGCAGCTGTTTGATAAACTATTCACACAAGAGTATTGGCAATTGTTGTAACAAACTATTCACACACAAATATTGGCAGCTGTTTGATAAACTATTCACACAAGAATATTGGCAATTATTGTAACAAACTATTCACACAAGAATTTTGGAAGATGTTTGATAAACTATTCACACAACAATATTGGCAGCTTTTTGTCAAACTATTTACACCAAAGACCATAATAAAACAACCACCTATAATAACTGAGCAATGATTATTTCCGTTGTATTTCTCTCGTAAACTAAAGCTAGGGGAAATAGCCGTTGGATCAGTGTTACATTTTCAGAATATGCAATTACGTCCCACTAAAAAGTTCTGATGACTTCAACCCTGACATTTAGGAACGATTTTGTACTTGCTCTTAGATGAAATTCTTGATCAGCTGAAATGGAAATATTCCAATAATGACTGTGATTTTTAGTGGATGATAATATCTACCATTATAAATCTCCAAGCTAAGGAAAGTAGTTGTGGGGATTTTGAAGTAAATAAGAACGGACATTATATCAAGACAAGCCATGGTATGTAACCACCAAGACAAGCCATGGTATGTAACCAACAAGACAAGCCATGGTATGTAACCAACAAGATAATCCATGGTATGTAACCAACAAGACAAGCCATGGTATGTAACCAACAAGACAATCCATGGTATGTAACCAACAAGACAAGCCATGGTATGTAACCAACAAGACAAGCCATGGTATGTAACCAACAAGACAAGCCATGGTATGTAACCAACAAGACAAGCCATGGTATGTAACCAACAAGACAAGCCATGGTATGTAACCAACAAGACAAGCCATGGTATGTAACCAACAAGACAAGCCATGGTATGGAAAAAAATACACAAGCGATGGTCTAGAACAATCAAGAAAGGTAATGGAATGAAACCAACAAGACCAGCCGCAGCATCTGAATACATATAAAAAATTAAACTTATAGAAAGAAAAGCTCTTCTAACGATAGAATACACACATATGTACACACACACACACATGACACGCTCACAGACACATGCAGTCTTTACAACAAAAGTTTCTGAGAAAATTTTGTGGAAATCGTGTAAGTCCTTCTTGCCATCTTTTAGGTCTCGTGGGTCTGTTTGATCGACCGGTCACAGTCGACCGTGCTATTTATAGTCAAGGAGTTAGACTAATATGAGACATCTGAACGATTCTGGAGTTGTAAACAAACTTTTCCATCAAGCGAAGAAGCAGAGGTGATATGACGTTGCACCGCATTAATTAGACATGACAGAAATCATTATATAACAATATGATTATATGACTATATTGGTCTATGAATATAATTCTATGATACCATGACTATATTGCTCCGAGACTCTATGATTTTATGACTCTATCACTACGACTCTACGATTCTATGTCTATGCCTCTAGGAGTCTATAACTCCATGACTCTATGCTCCACTGGGAGTTGAAAAGGTGAAGAAGAAGAGAAGGAATGGAATTGAAGCATTCTCTTCAAATTTAAATGTTTACAAAAGTTTACAAATGTTTACAAATGTTTACAAATCTTAATGGGCTATACATAGGAATTTGAAGAGCTCGTGATTTAACTTGTTCAGAGTGACGTCTGGCGTCTAACGTCTGCTGCTAACATGATCTGAAATAAGAATCTGTAATGAAATCTAAAGGTCTGCTACAACATCTTTTCAGCCGTTAAAGATGTCAGTGTTTAACATCAGAAGGTCTGAAATGGTGGTCAAGTGTATCAAACGGTCACCGAACTCACTAATTATCACTTAATGAAATGCTGTAGACTGTTAGACTGTATGAAAGTGGCCTGGTAGTTGAACCCACCCAAGACTGTTAGACTGTATGACAGTGGCTTGGTAGTTGAACCCAACCAAGTGCAGGTGGGCTATTTGACTGATGACTTCATACCTTCATGACTTTGTCAGCCATGTCGTAGTAGTGTAGGAATGTAGCTGTTATCACAAGCATAACTCTCCAACTGTTATGGATAGCCTCAAAGAACAACTGGTCAGTGAAGCCAACCCCAAGGTCACGTTGGTGAATAAATATCGTCATCCCAAGGTCATCCTCGAGAAATCTGAAATAATCAAGAATTCATACAATTTAAAAAAAAATATTTCCAAAATTTTTCTTTAATTTTTCAGAATTTATTCTTTAATTAAATATATATAACAAGAGAATGACTACTAAACTGTTTAAAAAGTGAAACAATAAAATTTACTCGTTCACTATTTTATTTTCATTTTTGCGGTTATCAAAATATTTTAAGTAGGTCAATTGTAAAAATTTTATGCGTGCCTGGTAAATGAGGCTGAAGAAAATGGAGGGCTCTTCATGACTCCCTGGGCGTACATATCGAAGGGCAACCGTATTATTTAAAAAATCCCTTGTTAGTTGGTAAAACATTCAGAAATAGGAAGGGGGCCATATGAAGCCCACGAGCCGTAGTTTGCCAAAGCTTGTAAATTTTTTTTTTCAATATCAAAATATACAATTTAATACAGAGATTGCCAAATTTTACATTCTTGCTCCTTATTTTTTAAATAATTCGTCTCCAGGGGACGCCATATATATAGACTAACACATTATGGGGGCCTCGTATATTTAATTTGAAGGGTCTCGAAGTTGTAATGTAGACACTTTTTAAAAAAATTAAAAAATTCAACTTTGATGGGGGGGGGGGAAGGGACAACGGGAAAGGGGCTGGGGGTCTCGAAATATCAAGCGACGGCTCTGCTAGAGCTGGTAATATAAAAAACATCTTTTATCTTGTGTTTATAAATAGTAGAGTGGTTTTAATTTATATTTTTAAAAAAAAAAAATACATCTTTTTTGGGGGGGGTGGGGGGGGTGGGGGCGGGGGTGTAAACTAGTTAATAAATAAAACAAAACACAAGTACTTCCAAATAAATCATTTATGAAACGTGCAATATTGGCACGTGACCGTTGTTTCTACTTATCAAGCGTGGCTGGACGTAATCTGTTTGAATTGTACGCCTCAAGAGCGCTAAAGTTCATGCTGCATTAAACTGAGACTGAACACATGGAAGACAATCTGGAACATCCTAGAGGTTAGTTCACTTACCGCTTTGTGAAATGGGAAATAACTGGGCAAAAACCAGATACAGGTGTTTACCTGCTGACTTTGCAGCCAACACGCTTTTAGTGACATGTCTTGTCATATCATAGATCATCATATCATAGATCATCCTATCATATCATTGATCATCATATCATAGATCATCCTATCATTGATCATCATATCATATATCATCATATCATTGATCATCATATCATATATCATCCTATCATAGATCATCATATCATAGATCATCCTATCATATCATTGATCATCATATCATAGATCATCCTATCATTGATCATCATATCATATATCATCATATCATTGATCATCATATCATATATCATCATATCATTGATCATCATATCATAGATCATCCTATCATTGATCATCATATCATATATCATCATATCATTGATCATCATATCATACATCATCATATCATAGATCATCATATCATAGATCATCATCATATCATAGATCATCATATCATAGATCATCATATCATACATCATCATATCATAGATCATCATATCATAGATCATCATCATATCATAGATCATCATATCATAGATCATCATATCATAGATCATCATATCATAGATCATCATATCATAGATCATCATCATATCATAGATCATCATATCATAGATCATCATCTCATAGATCATCATATCATAGATCATCATATCATAGATCATCATATCATAGATCATACAACATCATATCATAAAGGATATAGATACAGTGGTACCTTGAGAAACGAAATTAATTCGTTCCGTAACCTTGCTCGTAAGTCAATTTGATCGTATCTCAAAGCACTTTACCCATTGAAATTAATAGAAATGACATTAATCCGCTCCAGCCCCCAAAATGCCACATGAGTTGTTTTTTTAATAACATGTTTTTTTATAAGAAAAATGTATTTATTGATGACAAATATTGTATAAAAACATAATAAAAGAGAATGTAAAGAAATAAACTGGTTTTATAAAGTGTATGTACCTTGGACATCAGCCGACTTGAGCCTACGGAAGACGCTGGCGGAGGTGTAGGGTTTATCCTTAAACTTAATGGAACTTAACTAAACTTCACTGAACTTACTTGAACATAAATGCCACTGTGCACTTTTTTTGGTTACTTTCTTTTAATTTTCGTCACTACAGCCGGCTGACCCGCTGATCCGGTTCCTCGTATCTCAAATATTTCTCGTATCTCAAAGCAAAGCATCGCTCGCTCAACGGCTCGTATCTAAAAAATTTCGTATGTCAGGGCACTCGTACTACAGTATATAAAAGTGAATGTTTGTTTGTGGCTTCGTTCCACAGACGTTTTTACATGGATTGTTTGACCTTGAACAAACTTGAAACAAATATTCATCATTATCCAGAATCAAATACGGGGGGGGGGGGGGGGGGTTGGAACTTTAAAAAGTATACCATTTTGGGCCAGGGGCACCAAATCGTTATTTTTTCCCTTTTATGAGCTGTATAAAAAAATTAACAAAAAAAATTCCCATGAATAGATGGATCTTAAACAAACTTAGTACACATACACTTGATTAGCCATATTGAAATACCGAAGGGTACTGAACTCATGACATACATTCCTCTGTGGCCGGGGCCCCATTTCATTTTTCCTTTCATAAGCTACCGGTATATATTATAGAAATATCAATAGACAACACTCTAGGTTCTTTTTGAATGGATGGATCTCGGCCTATCGTGGTAGCAATACATTTCATTGTCCTTACTGACATATCGATGGATTTAAAATTAATTATATCCAATCTACAACTTACTAGAAAGGTCGATAATTTAAAAAAAAAAGCTTTATCAATGGCATTTTAAAATAGATTTGATTGGAACAAATTTTAAATTTTAACTCCATTATTTATCAAATGATTTTTATAGGGCCCCCTATCTTAGGCAAAACGAATTCCTTACCATTATGGAAGGGGCAAGATCATGAATGCAGCAACGTACCCTATCAGAATCAGACTCAGAAATTAAATGTACTATAGTTATAATAGTGCATTGTGTTGTATGATTTTTTTTGTATTCCAAAAATAAATTAGAAAAGCCTTCTTTTTACGTTTCAAGTAGGATATTAATTTAATCTAGAATGTTCCAGAAAGCGATAATCATTTAATTACTTAATTACTTTTTAAATTAATATTCCAACTTTGTTGTCTCTTTATAATTAATTGTCTTGTGGGATGCTTTTAATTAATTTTAATTTTAAATAAGTTGTCTTTCACCAAGTAGTTCTCATTATGTGAGGGTTTTGGAGACATAAGATAGGTCAATTTAGGTTTTTGAAGGCATATCATGGGTCAATCAAGGGTTCTGGAGACATTAAACAGGTCAATTCTTGTTATTGTACGATAATCTAGGGACCTTCTTCTTGTTATTGTACAATAATCTAGGGACCTTCTTGTTATTGTACGATAATCTAGGGACCTTCTTCTTGTTATTGTACGATAATCTAGGGACCTTCTTCTTGTTATTGTACGATAATCTAGGGACCTTCTTGTTATTGTACGATAATCTAGGGACCTTCTTCTTGTTATTGTACGATAATCTAGGGACCTTCTTCTTGTTATTGTACGATAATCTAGGGACCTTCTTCTTGTTGCGGGGTGATTTATTATGACTTTTAATTAGTTAATTAGTTTTTTTTTTTAAAAACATTATTTAGAATTGTTCTCAAGGTTGGGTTAGGGATCACCACTCCAAGGGGTGGGTTGTGGTAAGTGTGGTGGTCACTCATTTTGAGTGGTTCTCACAGCGCGTGTGAGGCATAAGGGCGTTTTCGTCCTTTGAAATCCTTGCTTTGTAACACGATCAGGTTCTTTAAGTTTATTGAGTGGTACTCAAGTGTTTATCATTGTGTAGCTTAGTGGTCACTGGTCATAGAGGCGATTGTAGTACGATGGCTTGGCTTAGTGGTCACTGGTCATAGAGGCGATTGTAGTACGATGGCTTGGCTTAGTGGTCACTGGTCATAGAGGCGATTGTAGTACGATGGCTTGGCTTAGTGGTCACTGGTCATAGAGGCGATTGTAGTACGATGGCTTGGCTTAGTGGTCACTGGTCATAGAGGCGATTGTAGTACGATGGCTTGGCTTAGTGGTCACTGGTCATAGAGGCGATTGTAGTACGATGGCTTGGCTTAGTGGTCACTGGTCATAGAGGCGATTGTAGTACGATGGCTTGGCTTAGTGGTCACTGGTCATAGAGGCGATTGTAGTACGATGGCTTGGCTTAGTGGTCACTGGTCATAGAGGCGATTGTAGTACGATGGCTTGGCTTAGTGGTCACTGGTCATAGAGGCGATTGTAGTACGATGGCTTGGCTTAGTGGTCACTGGTCATAGAGGCGATTGTAGTACGATGGCTTGGCTTAGTGGTCACTGGTCATAGAGGCGATTGTAGTACGATGGCTTGGCTTAGTGGTCACTGGTCATAGAGGCGATTGTAGTACGATGGCTTGGCTTAGTGGTCACTGGTCATAGAGGCGATTGTAGTACGATGGCTTGGCTTAGTGGTCACTGGTCATAGAGGCGATTGTAGTACGATGGCTTGGCTTAGTGGTCACTGGTCATAGAGGCGATTGTAGTACGATGGCTTGGCTTAGTGGTCACTGGTCATAGAGGCGATTGTAGTACGATGGCTTGGCTTAGTGGTCACTGGTCATAGAGGCGATTGTAGTACGATGGCTTGGCTTAGTGGTCACTGGTCATAGAGGCGATTGTAGTACGATGGCTTGGCTTAGTGGTCACTGGTCATAGAGGCGATTGTAGTACGATGGCTTGGCTTAGTGGTCACTGGTCATAGAGGCGATTGTAGTACGATGGCTTGGCTTAGTGGTCACTGGTCATAGAGGCGATTGTAGTACGATGGCTTGGCTTAGTGGTCACTGGTCATAGAGGCGATTGTAGTACGATGGCTTGGCTTAGTGGTCACTGGTCATAGAGGCGATTGTAGTACGATGGCTTGGCTTAGTGGTCACTGGTCATAGAGGCGATTGTAGTACGATGGCTTGGCTTAGTGGTCACTGGTCATAGAGGCGATTGTAGTACGATGGCTTGGCTTAGTGGTCACTGGTCATAGAGGCGATTGTAGTACGATGGCTTGGCTTAGTGGTCACTGGTCATAGAGGCGATTGTAGTACGATGGCTTGGCTTAGTGGTCACTGGTCATAGAGGCGATTGTAGTACGATGGCTTGGCTTAGTGGTCACTGGTCATAGAGGCGATTGTAGTACGATGGCTTGGGTTAGTGGTCACTAGTCATAGAGGCGATTGTAGTACGATGGCTTGGCTTAGTGATCACTAGTCATAGAGGCGATTGTAGTACGATGGCTTGGCTTAGTGATCACTGGTCATAGAGGCGATTGTAGTACGATGGCTTGGCTTAGTGGTCACTAGTCATAGAGGCGATTGTAGTACGATGGCTTGGCTTAGTGATCACTAGTCATAGAGGCGATTGTAGTACGATGGCTTGGCTTAGTGGTCACTAGTCATAGAGGCGATTGTAGTACGATGGCTTGGGTTAGTGGTCACTAGTCATAGAGGCGATTGTAGTACGATGGCTTGGGTTAGTGGTTACTAGTCATAGAGGCGATTGTAGTACGATGGCTTGGGTTAGTGGTCACTAGTCATAGAGGCGATTGTAGTACGATGGCTTGGGTTAGTGGTCACTAGTCATAGAGGCGATTGTAGTACGATGGCTTGGCTTAGTGATCACTAGTCATAGAGGTGCTTGTAGTACGATAGCTTGGCTTAGTGGTCACTAGTCATAGAGGCGATTGTAGTACGATGGCTTGGCTTAGTGATCACTGGTCATAGAGGCGATTGTAGTACGATGGCTTGGCTTAGTGGTCACTAGTCATAGAGGCGATTGTAGTACGATGGCTTGGCTTAGTGGTCACTAGTCATAGAGGCGATTGTAGTACGATGGCTTGGGTTAGTGGTCACTAGTCATAGAGGCGATTGTAGTACGATGGCTTGGCTTAGTGATCACTAGTCATAGAGGCGATTGTAGTACGATGGCTTGGCTTAGTGGTCACTAGTCATAGAGGCGATTGTAGTACGATGGCTGTTCTTTAAGTTGATTGCCAGATTTGCCATAATAGCTTGGGTTAGTGGTCACTAGTCCGATATAAAACAGTCAGTCTCTCTCTCTCTTAGCTTCGATATAATACTGTAAGGAAACCTTGTCTGCTCTCTGCTAACCTTCATCTATATCTGGTATTCACTAAGGAAGCAACTCAGGCGATAACATTTGATGATTATAATATTGTTCTTTATTAGGCTGACACTTCGCTTATACTTTCTCTCATCTCACAACTCTGACTGCCCTCTTCTCCTACCGTCCGAGTTCTCTCTAATGTCTGCTTCTCTGTCCGGCCGAGTTCTCCCCAGTCCTGTCCAGAGGTCCCTATTTATAAGTCCCTGGTCCATAGAGTTTCTTTCCCAGGTCTGTAATCTTACGCGCCCGGCCCTTTGATCAGTCGGTCACTACCCCCACCCCTGTCGCCACCAGGTTACCAACCAGTCGTCCCAGCGAAATATCCTGGTCAGATGGCCGGTACCCTGCTGTAAGATCTGACGCGCCCGGCCCTTTGATCAGTCGGCGCCTCCAAGTCCGAACCAGTCGTCCCAACGGTAACCCTGGTGTGAGATCTGACGCACCTGGCCCTTGATCAGTCGGTCGAAGTCCGAACCGGTCGAGTTCCAAACTCTCCACAAGACACACAGCAGTTTGCCATCAGCTGGCTTGCAGCAGGACTAACCAAATTATTTTTGAAAAACAAAAAATTTCAAACCTGGGGTCAAGGTATCTTCGTCCACTCTCAGGTCATCTCAAATTCCCCGGTCCGTAGTTTTTCAACCAGCTACACGCGAGGGTGAGTGTGGGGCTGGGGGTGAGTGTGGGGCTGGGGGTGAGTGTGGGGCTGGGGGTGAGTGTGGGGCTGGGGGTGAGTGGGGGGCTGGGGGTGAGGGTGGGGCTGGGGGTGAGTGTGGGGCTGGGGGTGAGAGTGGGGTGTATACCTCCATGCCTTTTTTCGTAGTGTGTACTTTTAATTATGTGATCTTGGTGAAACGGTCTTAGCTGACACTGACATAGGAACGTACATAAACATATACATCAGTACAACTTTCTCATATCATAAACTGACAAGGGCACATACCAATAATATGTTCGTAAACATTTCCCACGTATGGCTTAATAAAACTAATTGTAATCACCTTTTCAAAACGGTTGCCACATATCTGTGATCATCATCGGCGTAGCCAATGAAAACATCTGTCTCGTAGTCACGTGACGTCTTGGCCTTGCACTGAGGAGCTATCGTGTTCAACACAAAGGCGATCAGGGACGTTTTAAATCTCATCAGGAGATAGACGCTCAGAAAGGTCAAGGCCATCAATGACGCGATGATCAGCGAAACCATCAGGGATAAACTGTCAATGATACGAGATGTTAACAAAACTGTCAATGAGAAGAGATGTTAACAAAACTGTCAATGAGAAGAGATGTTAACAAAACTGTCAATGATAAGAGATTTAACAAAACTGTCAATGATAAGAGATGTTAACAAAACTGTCATTGAGAAGAGATGTTAACAAAACTGTCAATGATAAGCCATGTTAACAAAACTGTCATTGAGAGGAGATGTTAACTAAACTGTCAATGATAAGAGATGTTAACAAAACTGTCAATGAGAAGAGATGTTAACAAAACTGTCAATGAGAAGAGATGTTAACAAAACTGTCAATGATAAGAGATGTTAACAAAACTGTCAATGATAAGAGATGTTAACAAAACTGACATTGAGAAGAGATGTTAACAAAACTGTCAATGTTAGTAGATGTTAACAAAACTGTCAATGTTAGTAGATGTTAACAAAACTGTCAACGTTAGTAGATGTTAACAAAACTGTTAATGTTAGTAGATGTAAACAAAACTGTCAATGTTAGTAGATGTTAACAAAACTGTCAATGTTAGTAGATGTTAACAAAACTGTCAATGATAAGAGATGTTAACAAAACTGTCAATGATAAGTGATGTTAACAAAACTGTCAATGTTAGTAGATGTTAACAAAACTGTCAATGTTAGTAGATGTTAACAAAACTGTCAACGTTAGTAGATGTTAACAAAACTGTTAATGTTAGTAGATGTAAACAAAACTGTCAATGTTAGTAGATGTTAACAAAACTGTCAATGTTAGTAGATGTTAACAAAACTGTCAATGATAAGAGATGTTAACAAAACTGTCAATGATAAGTGATGTTAACAAAACTGTCAATGATAAGAGATGTTAACAAAACTGTCAATGATAAGAGATGTTAACAAAACTGTCAATGAGAAGAGATGTTAACAAAACTGTCAATGATAAGATATGTTAACAAAAATGTCAATGATAAGAGATGTTAACAAAACTGTCAATGATAAGAGATGTTAACAAAACTGTCAATGATAAGAGATGTTAACAAAACTGTCAATGAGAAGAGATGTTAACAAAACTGTCAATGAGAAGAGATGTTAACAAAACTGTCAATGAGAAGAGATGTTAACAAAACTGTCAATGAGAAGAGATGTTAAACAAACTGTCAATGAGAAGAGATGTTAACAAAACTGTCAATGTTAGTAGATGTTAATAAAACTGTCAATGTTAGTAGATGTTAACAAAACTGTCAACGTTAGTAGATGTTAACAAAACTGTTAATGTTAGTAGATGTAAACAAAACTGTCAATGTTAGTAGATGTTAACAAAACTGTCAATTATAAGAGATGTTAACAAAACTTTAAATGATAAGAGATGTTAACAAAACTGTCATTGAGAAGAGATGTTAACAAAACTGTTAATGATAAGCGATGTTAACAAAACTGTCAATGATAAGAGATGTTAACAAAACTGTCATTGAGAAGAGATGTTAACAAAACTGTCAATGATAAGAGATGTTAACAAAACTGTCAATGATAAGAGATGTTAACAAAACTGTCAATGATAAGAGATGTTAACAAAACTGTCAATGATAAGAGATGTTAACAAAACTGTCAATGATAAGAGATGTTAACAAAACTGTCAATGATAAGAGATGTTAACAAAACTGTCAATGAGAAGAGATGTTAACAAAACTGTCAATGATAAGAGATGTTAACAAAACTGTCAATGATAAGAGGTGTTAACAAAACTGTCAATGATAAGAGATGTTAACAAAACTGTCAATGAGAAGAGATGTTAACAAAACTGTCAATGATAAGAGATGTTAACAAAACTGTCAATGATAAGAGATGTTAACAAAACTGTCAATGATAAGAGATGTTAACAAAACTGTCAATGATAAGAGATGTTAACAAAACTGTCAATGATAAGAGATGTTAACAAAACTGTCAATGATAAGAGATGTTAACAAAACTGTCAATGATAAGAGATGTTAACAAAACTGTCAATGATAAGAGATGTTAACAAAACTGTCAATGATAAGAGATGTTAACAAAACTGTCAATGAGAAGAGATGTTAACAAAACTGTCAATGAGAAGAGATGTTAACAAAACTGTCAATGATAAGAGATCTTAACAAAACTGTCAATGATAAGAGATGTTAACAAAACTGTCAATGATAAGAGATGTTAACAAAAATGTCAATGATAAGAGATGTTAACAAAACTGTCAATGATAAGAGATGTTAACAAAACTGTCAATGTTAGTAGATGTTAACAAAACTGTCAATGATAAGAGATGTTAACAAAACTGTCAATAATAAGAGATGTTAACAAAACTGTCAATGAGAAGAGATGTTAAAAAATCTGTCAATGATAAGAGATGTTAAATTTTTTTTAAAAAGTGTAATTATAACTTAAAAAACTACAATGCACCGGGATGTCAACATATAAATGCTATTAGAAGTTAACAGGAAGGAACAGGTCACATCTGATTACGATCCATTGTTTCGTTTCCTTGTAATAAAAGAGCACATTAAGAAGCATCCATACAAAAATACCTATTCAATCTGAGCTTTATAGTGCATAATATCTGTTCAATTTCAGCGCATCTAAAACAATTCTGATCAAGTAAACAATTTTAAAAGAGACTTCACGTAAGATATTTTAAATATTTGTCAAGCACACAAACCAGCCATCATAAAACAAGTCTACCTTAATTAATGAAGGTATTAAAAAGAGTTTTAATTTGATTTTATAACGGCTAATAATATAAACCAAAATATAAATTGTCTCTTGCCAAGTTCCATAACTGTCTTGTACTTTTCCTGTTGGTTATACCTCTGCCCTTTCTGACTTATCCTCCTTACATAATAATCATTATTGCCTGATCATCACTTTTTCTCAGCTCGCCCTCCTTGCCTCGACTCCTTTTACATTGCATCCCCTTTCAAATCATTGCCTGAATACAGCATACATTGTCTCACCCTCACCCATACATTGTCTCACCCTCCCCCATACATTGTCCCCCCCTCCCCCATACATTGTCTCCCTCTCCCCGATACATTGTCTCACCCTCCCCCATACATTGTCTCCCCCTCCCCCATACATTGAACACTCTCCCCCCCTCCCCCCTACATTGTCTCCCCCTCCCCCATACATTGTCTCCCCCTCCCCCATACATTGTCTCCCCCTCCCCCATACATTGTCTCACCTCTCGACGCATCACATCTCCCCCCCTCCCCACGTATTGTCTCCCCCTCCCCCTTACACTGTCTCACCTCCCCACACATTGTCTCCAAACTCCCTGTGTATCAGAGAAATGGCCTGTGCTTGTGATGCGGCCATCTTGTGACGTACATGTGTAGTTTCCCCCATAGTCCAAGTTTGTATGAGTCGTTTGTAGCCAAGCTGTCAACATAAAATGTTGTCATGTCTCAAACTGAGCCAATTGTGGTTGTAAAAGAAAATATATATATTTTACAAACACTCAAAATATACAATCTTAGAAAAATTGATTTTTAATTAGACGAATTTAATAGTCACCAAATTGTGTGACTGACATGACAACAAGAATCATTCAAACCAAACACAGTTGGAAGACATCATGGGTCAAGGTTTTCTATGTCAAAGGTCATGTGATTGATTATTGGAACGAAACTGAAAATCCGGGGTTTGGAGTGGAGCTGGGATGTGGAGTTGTTGAATATCCCACTGCTCGGAGTTCCAAAAATTGTAATGCATTAAAAAAACTAAAATCAAACGTGCACTCCTTTGAATTGAATAAAAACCCAACAAAACAACAAAAATTAATGTCTAGCTATTCTACCAATACCAGCTGTTTTAATCCTAAATTCTACCAGCTGGTTTGTCTCACTCTTCTACCAGCTGGTTTGTTCAACTCTTCTACCAGCTGGTTTGTTCAACTCTTCTACCAGCTCGTTTGTCAACTCTTCTACCAGCTGGTTTGTCTCGCTCTTCTACCAGCTCGTTTGTCCAACTCTTCTACCAGCTCGTTTGTCAACTCCTCTACCAGCTGGTTTGTCTCACTCTTCTACCAGCTGGTTTGTCCAACTTTTCTACCACCTGGTTTGCCTCACTCTTCTACCAGCTGGTTTGTCCCACTCTTCTACCAGCTGGTTTTTCCAAATCTTCTACCAGCTGGTTTGTCCAACTCTTCTACCAGCTGTTTTGTCCAACTCTTCTACCAATACCAGCTGTTTTAATCTAAACTTCTACCAGCTGGTTTGTCTCAATCTTCTACCAGCTGGTTTGTCCAACTCTTCTACCAGCTGGTTTGTCCAACTCTTCTAACAGCTGATTTGTCTCACTCTTCTACCAGCTGATTTGTCTCACTCTTCTACCAGCTGGTTTGTTCAACTCTTCTACCAGCTGGTTTGTCCCACTATTCTACCAGCTGGTTTGTCTCACTCTTCTACCAGCTGGTTTGTCCAACTTTTCTACCAGCTGGTTTGTCTCACTCTTCTACCAGCTTGTTTGTCCAACCCTTCTACCAGCTGGTTTGTCCAACTCTTCTACCAGCTGGTTTGTCTCACTCTTCTATCAGCTGGTTTGTCTACCTCTTCTACCAGCTGGTTTTTTTAGCTCTTCTACCAGATGGCTTGTCTCACTCTTCTACCAGCTGGTTTGTCTAACTCTTCTACCAGCTGGTTTGTCTACCTCTTCTAACAGATGGCTTGCCTCACTCTTCTACCAGCTGGTTTGTCTCATTCTTCTACCAGCTGGTTTTTTCTACCTCTTCTACCAGATGGCTTGTTTCACTCTTCTACCAGCTGGTTTGTCCCACTTTTCAACCAGCTGGTTTGTCCCATTCTTTTACCAGCTTGTTTGTCCACTTTTCTACCAGCTGGTTTGTCCCAATCTTCTACCACCAATCATTGAGACAATGATGTCAATACATCTTCTCATCCACCAAACATTGAGACAATGATGCCAGTACATCTTCTCATCCTCAAATCATTGAGACAATAATGTGTTTCCTTAGAAGGAAATCCTCTAAATATTTACATTGTATCCCGAATCATTATTTACATTTAGCTCACTTATAACAGCAGGCGCATAGCAAAGTCTTAACTGCAGGCACATAGCAAAGTCTTAACAGCAGGCGCATAACAAAATCTTAACAGCAGGCACATAGCAAAGTCTTAACTGCAGGCACATAGCAAAGTCTTAACAGCAGGCGCATAACAAAGTCTTAACAGCAGGCGCATAGCAAAGTCTTAACAGCCGGCACATTGCAAAGTCTTAACAGCAGGCACATAGCAAAGTCTTAACTGCAGACACTAGCAAAGTCTTAACAGCAGGCACATAGCAAAGTCTTAACAGCAGGCACATAGCAAAGTCTTAACAGCATGCACATAGCAAAGTTTTAACAGCAGGCACATAGCAAAGTCTTAACTGCAGGCACATAGCAAAGTCTTAACAGCAGGCACGTAGCAAAGTCTTAACTGCAGGCACATAGCAAAGTCTTAACGGAAGGCACATAGCAAAGTTTTAACAGCATGCACATAGCAAAGTTTTAACAGCATGCACATAGCAAAGTTTTAACAGCAGGCACATAGCAAAGTCTTAAAAGCAGCCACATAGCAAAGTCTTAACAGTAGGCACATAGCACAGTCTTAACTGCAGGCACATAGCAAAGTTTTAACACTACGAGGCAGTGGTAAAAGTCCAACTAACCACTCCACCACACATAACATACATATAAATATAATTTCAACTAATTATGTTAAAATGATTGTAAGTAGGCCATATAACATAATGTTTATATGTAGGAACTATAAATTTTGATTTTAATTAGTCCATATATGGTAGGATTGTACATATGTCCTATTATATAATGATTGTATTTAGGCCCTATCTGATAATAGGCGAACTTTCGCATTTTCTGGCCCAACCATTTGGAACACTCTTCTGAGAAACAGCCAGACAGTGGATTTCTTCAAAACCGATTTGAAAACACATCTATTTCGCAAACACCTGTTGGGGTGATGTTGTCTACCATCTTTTCCAGCTAGCTATTATCTCCTAGATGTATATTGGCCTGTGTTGTTTATGGTTCCAAGATATGAAAGACTTAGAATGGGTATTTGCGTATGTAGTTTTCGTAATGTTGCGTTTTTTATTTCAATGTGGTAAAATATAGATGTTTCCATTTGTCTTTGAATATGGTTGACTTTGTACCGCGCTTCGAGCCTTTGGGGATGAAGCGGGATTTTCAAATAAACTTTATTATTATGATTATTATCTTTATGATTGTATGCAGGAACTATTACATAATGATTGCAGGTAGGACCTATTACATAATGATTGTATGTAGGCGCTATTACATAATGATTGTATGTAGGCGCTATTACATAATGATTGTATTAGGCCCTGTTACATAATGATTGTATGTAGGCACTATTACATAATGATTGTATGTAGGTCATCTTACATAATGATTGTATTATGCCCTGTTACATAATGATTGTATGTAGGCGCTATTACATAATGATTGTATGTAGGCGCTATTACATAATGATTGTATTAGGCCCTGTTACATAATGATTGTATGTAGGCACTATTACATAATGATTGTATGTAGGTCATCTTACATAATGATTGTATTATGCCCTGTTACATAATGATTGTATGTAGGCGCTATTACATAATGATTGTATGTAGGCGCTATTACTTAATGATTGCATGTAGGCGCTATTACATAATGATTGTATTAGGCCCTGTTACATAATGATTGTATTAGGCCATGTTACATAATGATTGTATGTAGGCACTATTACATAATGATTGTATGTAAGTCATCTTACATAATGATTCTATTAGGCCCTGTTACATAATGATTGTATGTAGGCCCTATTACATAATGATTGTATGTAGGCCATGTTACATAATGATTGTATGTATTGCTGGAGCCGTGCAAAGGGAAAGATGTGCCCGGGGGTGAAGCGTGAGGTTGGCATCTGTCCAATCCTGTATCATTTATTGATATATATGATATATTTTATATTATATTAAAGGTGAGATATTTATTTCTTCACTAACGAAATGTGTGGGAACAGGTGGATACAAATGTCTGGTTAAAGGAAAAATGTAAAAGTAAAAAATTACACTAAATAATTTTAAGACTCATCTGTATTTAAGCGATTTTGATTAATTATCTAATTGTACAGTTAGTAAAACAATTAATCTTAACTACACGAAATTAAGTGAGCCGTTCCAAGGCAGGTGAGTGTATCGTCTTTTTGTCATTCCAATAACAGGCAAGAAAAAGTAGGCTTATTTTTTTAAAATGTTTACATTCCTAAAAAGTGCATTAATTCTTGAAGATGCCTAACTTGAGCAAATATTAGGTCTCCCTTGCAATGCTACTTTCTAACAGCTGACAAAATCTGATCACTTGTAATATATTTTTTAAACATTATATCTCTGCTTAAAATATATTTGGAAGTGTTTTTCTATGAGAGTCCGTAAAAAATAACATCTACAGTCACATTGGTGCCTAGCTTTAAATTATTCGGTGAACCACCATTCCTGTATCGTCTTACAATTTATTATTAATAAATAGTTTTCTGAAACTTACCCAGAAATTTGATGTTTGAACACAGACAGACAATAGCGTTGCCGTGAAGTTTTAAGGTGAAGTCTCCAGTCTGGTGAATCTGTGCGTCGATTGCAGACATCTCCTGCTCTTCTAAGTAGGGAACTGCGTTCTCCGTCATATCAAGGTACCTCAGCCTCGGGGTCGTGTGAAACTCAAAGGGAATGCTCGAGAAACGGTTCCTGGCCAGTACCAGATAAGTCAACAGCACGTTGGACGTGAAGGTCCCGGGCAACAGAGTGTTAAGGCCGTTGTTGGTCAAGTCAAGATACGTCAGACTGGTCAAGTTCCGAAGGAGTCGCTTACACGACACGACGATCTGGAAGTAATTCAAAGGTAAGATGGAGTTGAGAACCAAAACTTTTAAGCCAGGCAAATCTTCGTAGAAATGTTGCTCCACGTCCATCATCGAGCCAGACACGTCCAAGACTTTAAGGTGCTCCAGGCCCAGCAGGCGTCCACGGCAGTAGAACAGGAAAGGGATGTCTAACGCGTAAATTTCCTGAATATTTTGTGCGTCAACCAGTCTCCATGTAACCCGAAATTGAATAAAAGTTTGGAGTGTGATAAAGGCCATTCGGATGAACCTTACGTTTGGGGGCGAACGGAGCCAGATGATTGGAGTGATTGTGATTCTCGAGAAGACGTTAGATGTTACTTGATCTGACGTTCGATACTGCACAGTTGGCTGCATTAACGTCTGGTGCACTGGTGCAGCAAAGCCATTTTTCAAATCAGATGTCTCCTCTGACCTTCTGATCGTGTTGCTCGAATTCTGAGGTAACTTTCCGACAAGGTCTTCAGGTTTTGTTGCTTTCAAACGACCGTAGTTGGTCTTAGATAGACTCACCTGGCCTTGAGAGAGAACCACTTCGTTGGGGGTTGGATAAGCCAATGAGCTATGGCAATTCCTGTAAGGTGTCAGGATGCAGGTATAGTTAGGATGAACTTGCTCATACGTAGAGGGTGGGGAAGTGATGGTAAGATCATCCAAGTTATGGAGCAGATGCAGGTCAAAAAACAAGGACCGCCAGGCAGAGAATCCAAAATTGTTTCCCGAGACGTCCAAGACGCGTAGACAGCGCCTCCAAACATCACTTATTAATGCTCCATTCTCAATCGCAAAGATCTTGCTGTTTGAAAGAACAAGTTTCCAGAGACATAGTTGAGAAATGTTTTTGGTCGATGTCCTGCGAATGATGCCATCATTGAACGTCAAGTCCGGTGATTCTCCGTATCTCGAGTACTTTGTATCATTCAGCACCAGCGATGTTAAATTGCCACCTACAAATGGCCAGAGGGATTTCAAAATGTTGTGATTTCCACTTTCCCATTGGCTGACCACGAGCGATTCAAGCCCTGGTACGTACTGAAATAGGTCAGGGTGAATCGTTGGGGGGACCAGGACTGAAAAATATGTTAACTCCAAGTCTTTTAAAGGCAGACCAGCCAGTCCAATAAAACTATTGTTGTAAACTTCTCTAACTGGAGCGCAGTACAATTTCAGCCTTTTCAGTTGAGTGAAGTTTGTGAATTCGTATCCTAGGTACATGTCTCTGAAGGTATCGATAGAAAGACTCGTCAAATTAGGCAAGAATTGGAAGATGTCAATGTAATCTTGGTACCGAGGCTGCTCTAGTGGCGCCCTGGTCTCGCTGTTAGGCCGTGCTTCCCAGTCACTAAACATCACCACCGTGTTGAAGGCGATGTACAAATGTGTCAAGTTAGGTGTGTACATAAAAGTAGTCACTTTAAATTTACGGTGCTCCAGTGACAACGTATTGCCCTCCAAGTCGAGGTACTTCAAATTCATTAATCCTCTGAAAGCGGTTTGCTGTTACAAAAAATAAAATTAAAATTAAAAAACAAACCATAAACCAATAACACGAAACAAAAAGTCAAACACACACGCGAAAGAAAAAGAAAAGCCACTCAACGATAATGCCTTGGAAAATACATGAAATCGACTTTTCAATAAGAATGTTTTACTTTAAATGAGCCTACAAATCTTTAATTAATCTGCTTACAAAGGGAATTCAAACTGCCCCAAGCTGCAACTAAAATATGCAACTATATGAATTGTGTATATGTCGTTTCTTCAATGTTGATATTAGGTGTCAATAAATCAATCGTCTCATGCCTTAACCATGACAAGAATTGAATCTTTTGAGACTCGTCACATAAATAAATTGAATAACAACGACATCTGTGATAAGAAAGACGAAAGTCTCACAAAATGGTAACACACTAATGTTTAAAAGGCCACTATGAGCTATCTATTCGAACATTACCACCACTATCAGGTACTCATTTGAACGCTACCATCAGATTTAATACTTACCTGTATAGCGTTGATGTGGGACTTCCTAATACTCAAGTAACTCAGGTTGACCAGCTTCACGAAGCTGTCATTTCTCAGGACGGTGATGTTGTTCCCGTCTAGGAGAAGACTCGTTGTGTTCCCAGGGAACCAGGATGGGTCTAGTTTAGTAAGATTCCGGTAGGAACAGTTGATTAAACTACCCCCAAACACGTCATCAAGCGAAATACGGCATACCACAGGCGGCACAGCGGAATCGACCTGGAGGCTGATATCATGACCTGTTGACTTCTCACGTGTTTGAAAATGTAATGAACGTGCTCCCGAGACCTGGCATACGACTCTAAACTCACGCCATTCACCTACATCTAACAGAATGAGAACCTTTAGGAGCATAAAACACTTTATACACTGATCCATTATTTGTTGGTTACAAAAATGTTTGATGACGTAATCCAAGTGTAACAATATATATCCCCGAAAATAGAACAGACACGCTAAGAAGTCTCCACTACAGTAGTATGCACTAAATGCTTGTAGATTGGTACAGTGTATAGCTCCTCTAAGTGCAGACAGCCTTTTACTGGAAATAAATTCGTCTCGGTAGTAATGTGCTCTGTGTACATAGAAGTGTGCTCTGAGTTGTTCTTGTTGGAGGAGATATCAAATATCTGTCCGTCAAATATCTCAGTCGAATAATGTTGTAGTAAATAAACCACTCATGTCATTCTCTTTCTCTACCAAAATAAAAGAACGTGTCTTAATCTGAAACCATGACATGTCTTCACTTAATTAACTGCTTCATAATATGACGTCACAATATGTCCTGTGACGTCGTCACCAAACGTACTGCATCAAACGTCCTGACAAGTCGTCACCAAACGTCATGACAAGTCGTCACAATACGTCCTGACAAGTCGTCACCAAACTTTTATGACTGAAATCTTCCATCCTCGAGATTCGTGTTGCCCCAATGCCAAGTGTCTCATCTCTGAAAATATTACTTCTGTGTTCTGATATCCTATCAGAAAGTTATCATCTTTGAAACCACAAGCTCTCAAAACTTCTCACATATCCCAATCCAACATGACTCAACCCCAACCAGTCTTGTGGGAAAAGATTGCATCCCTCGTAGTGTAAATACTGGTTATTTCATCTCTAGAATAGTTACTTAATTTCGGCTGATAAATTTCCGCTTTAACAATATGGATCTTAAAGTCAATTTACGATATAAGACTCAGTATGACCATGTTTGTTTGTTTGTTTGCAGGTATGTATTTCAATTTAAAAAGTAGCACCAAACGATGGATCTCAATCAAATTGACCAACACCTGGATCCTGGAAATTTTGGCCAAATTCCTTTCATCCTAAAAGTTGTTATTAAAATAAACAATCCATTATATGCATTTTTAAAATTATTTTATGTAAATACTCTAATAACCCCCCCCCCCCCCCCCCCC